GACCAGAAAAATGTCACTTAATATCTACCAAGAGAGGCAAGGAATCATTTCACTATGATCTTATCAGAATCGCTGTCATCAAGCCCAGGAGAAGCAATAATCTCCTATCCAAAAAAATAGTAGCATACAAGCATTGAACGACAATGACCCTTTCTCTTCCTAAAAGGAAACATACTACTTTAGGAAGACTTCTGAAAAAGAGATAACATGTGCATTCTGATTTCAGAGAAAATATACATTATATATCAGGATTAACATAAGAGAGGGTCAGCGACAAATAAATTTTATGCTTTGTGAGCAGTCTTGTCAGAAAAATAAATAAACATTTAGAAATTAATGACAATGAAGTTGATCAGACCTTGTATACCGATCAATTCTTTACATTATGAAAGGGCTGGGACTTGTTTATCACAACTGACAAGTCCAAGTGCAAAAGACACAGCAACTACAGCTAGAGCTGTTAGGTAGGTCAGGGAGCATGATTCAATGAACTGGGAATGAACTGAAACATAGACAAGAAGAATGGACAACACAAAGTACTACCCCACATTGATCAACACCTGAGGGTTGAAGCAAGATGCCGCAAACTCGCGACCAAAAATGTATTTGTCAAGTGTCAACATCCAGCGATGTAACAAATGAGACCACTCAATTTAATACTATTAAGTATCTGGGATCCACAAAACAAACAGCCTGTTCGGGAGGCCGTATTGTATCGTGGATTATTTATTGCTGGCTGGTTTGGTGCGAGAGAAAAACACTGTTCCCAGCTGGAAATTTACGATCGTTTACGAGCAAGCGAACAGGCCGAAACATGGCAGGGACGGGCACATGGAAGCCTGAGGTGATGGTCATTATCACTGAGCGGTCAGTTTCATTGAGTAATAAACAGAAAATAAAGCTATCAGTTTCCAGCTGCACAAAATAACTAATTTAATGTGTGACTGAAGAAGCGACGTGTTGTATTTTTCTGTTTTCCAATCCATGAATAAATGCACTTATATCAGGTAAAAAAAGGGAAATCTGTCGGATTTTAAACTGAGAAAATGTTATCCCCGTTCATTTGTAGGTGGTACCAGTATTTTAAACTAAGAAAATATTATCCCCGTTCCACCCAAGGGAACATGGGACAAACTGATGCCATTCCTAGCCCATGCCTGCGAAGGATTCAGATAACTTTGCCTAGTATAGTAGTATCAAGGTGGCCACAAATGGTACTGCCAATATTTCAGATGAACGCAAAGTTGTTGGAGGTTTGCACAGCACAACTAAGGAGTGGGCACAGATGAGCTAAATGAATCGCTACCAGATTGGTGCTTAAAGGTTGCTCCGTACGACAAGACAGCAATCGAAATAAGACCAGCACTCCCACAATCCCAGTACCAGCATTCATTCTTGACACGGTCGAGCATTTCAAGACCCCGGAAGCATCCGTGGAAGCACAGCATGGACCGGATCCCCCCGAGACTGGACAGATCGGAGCCGCGGCAAGAGGAACGAACAACGGTAGCATCAGTCCCCAAAGGGCAGCAAGATTTCGTGAAGAGATGGATGCCAGACCAGAATCATCAGTGCTGCCGGACGCGACCATCGTCCGCGCAACCTCCCAAAAGTAGTACTCCTACGTACTAACCAAAATCGCGAAGCAGAGATCGACAGCAATCCAGAGAAGCCGAGACACCGCGAGAAGAAGGAAGAAGGTGAAAAGGCCCGCATCACAAATCCACCAGCAACAATCGACAGAAGAGGGCGAGGAGGAGGAGGGGCCGGGGGGCAGGCATTACCGGAGGTCGCAGATCAACAACGCGAGCGCAGGAATGGAGTGGAGGCAGAGCGCAGCAGCGGTTCCTGTTCCTCGCACGCGGAACTGCGGAATGGTGGGGGTCGAGCACTCGAGCGAGCGCTAAAGCCCAGAACCCGCCGGAGCGCGTGGGCAAGCGTTAGCGCGCAGTTACCCTAATGCCCCTGGCGCCTCACCAGCTGGAGCCTGGAGGCGTTTAATTTAGGTTATTTTATAGTATTAATTTACCAGCGGGAGGAGGCAAAGAAAGGGTTAACGGCGCTAATTTAATTGCGAGGGAGAGGGAGGGTGGGCGCTTCCGTGGTGGTCCCCACGAGGGCCGGGCCGGCCCGCCGGTTCTGCTGTGCTCGTGGCCGCGGGGACACCAGAAACCGGGAAAAGCCTGGGATCGCGGTCGCGTTGCCACGGCCGGGCCCCCGGGCACGCATTGGATCCTCCATTTCCTCTGTTTGTGGGCCTTGCGCCCCTGCCACGGCCGCCGTTTCTGCTGCTGCTTTTGTTTTGGTTGTTTCCTTGGTAAACATGTACCGCCTCGATCCTGAAAAGAATGTACCTATAGTTACGTGTTATGAAAAGTGATTCATGTTTGGCTAAATTTTTAGTAAATAATATTCATAGTTATGTTTTTAAATTAATTTATTATAAAAATACATTCCGTAATTAATCTGATGGTATTTATTTGGTATCATAAACATGAATATTTTTTTATCTATAATTAGCCAAACTTAATAAGGTACTAAAACGTAACACTGTGCTAAAATTGCATTCTTTTGGAGACCGAGGGAGTAATACTTTTCCCTCCCCTTTTTCCGCTACTTGAATTGAAAAAACAACAAATGATGAGGGCCGTCTTTTATACATACAACTTTGAAAAGGCCAGAACTGAAGACACATGTTACGACTTACTCCCTCCGCACGGGAAAAATATAATTCTCAAATTTTGAGAAATCAAATATTTTAATTAAATTTTATAAAAAATATTAACATTTATGAAAACAAAATAAATATCATTAGATTAGTTATGGAATATAATCTATCCCTAATAATAAAGAAGCAAAATTATTGATCATTTTTTTCGTCCAGCCTCCCTAACTAACTCTGTTCGTCTACCTATAACCCTCCTGATATATATGCACGACTTGAATGTATGTTCTTAGGTAATATGGATAGTTAGAATTCTAATCCTAATCCAAGTAGAAGATAATAAAAATCAAAATTAGACAAATCTGAGGAGAGAAAAATTCCCAAATAGCAATAGTTTTACTCTATTTTTCCCCTATGACGGACATGTTTTTAGTTTTCTGTGTTTACTTTTCCCCTTGTGTCAGGCATGGAGTTGTACTCCGTTTCTCTTTCCAGTGACAGTCGGACACGGTGGAGTTTTAGCCCTTGTTTAGTTCTAAATTTTTTTTTCAAAAAGTGCTACAGTATCCATTACATCGAATCTTACGATACGTACATGGAGTATTAAATGTAGACGGAGAAAAAAAACTAATTGCACGGTTTGGTGGGAAATTGCGAAACGAACGTTTTGAGCCTAATTAGTCCATGATTGAACACTAATTGCTAAATAAAAACGAAAATGCTACAGTAGCCAAATTTCCAAACTTTCGCCAACTAAACCAGGGCTTACTCTGTTTTTCTTCTTCTCTGACAGTCGGACACGGTGAAGTTTTACTCCGCACGGTTACAAACTGAGGATGCAAACCTGTTCCATCTTGGGGAAAAAAATAACTCGCTCAGACACAGGCAAAGAAAAGGGACACGCTAGACACATAATAAGAAATAAAAAACGAATTGAAAGAAAAGATTACGCTCTTTAATTTAAAAAATCACTGCCTCCAAACCGAATGGTGATATGGGCAACCAAATCAATCACTGGCTCCTCTCTTTACTGTATGCATGCACGTCCATTCGTTTGTTGGTCGGTGGACCACGTCCACGAGCGTTGTGTGAGGGTATGACGGCCAGAGATGGAGATATTGTTACGGGTTCTCATACAAAGTCGTGAAACCCCATATTTTACTAGCAACACATGGACAATATGAAAAATAAAGTTATGATATATTTACAAGTAAATATTTCTATGCTTTGCAATGACAGAAAAAATCTATGTACAACTTCTATACCAATTACAGAGTCCGTATAGGACTTATTATGGTCCTTGTCCAAATAGGACTACGTACAACTTCTATACCAATTGCGGATAGGACTATGGTCCTTGTCCAAATAGGACTATGTACAACAATTCTGGCACTATATAATGAAAACAAATACTGCCCTAGAGAGCATAAACCACCGTAACCAAAAAGCAAGCATTTAGATGGCAAGAAATCAACATCATGAATATCAACGTTGAACCATATGATGAAGAGCGACAGACCTTAATTGATCTCAATGAAGCCCATATTCTACATCAGGAAGACGTCAGGATTGATGCCCGTGAAGATATGATGTACATGCAGGAGGTGGCATAGAGGCACTTGAAAACCAGATTACAAACATTGATGCACTCGGTGAAAAAAAAAAGAATTGCATCTAGGTAAAATTACTTCAATATTGCTTTTTTTTCTCTATTGCATCCAGGGAAAATATGACACCATTCTTATTATACATTCTTTTTAATCTACAGATCCAAGGAAAAGAGAGAAAGAGAGAGAGAGCGGTATGCACAGATGACCAATGGAAAAAAGCAGGAAAAACTAAAAAGGCGCCGTGAAGCAAAACATGGATGTCATGGTCATCGTATAATAAATTACGTTGCAACGCACGGATATATTTTGCTTGTTTCATAATAAACCAATTTAGAGATATTAATGTGAATACTATTCATTTGAATCCTGATCAAACTTGAACTACTTTAACAAGAACGGATAACGTAATTGTATTGTTTTATTATGGACAGAGGTAGTACAACCAAACGCATGCAAGCAAACCTTCAAATTTAGGTTGCAAAGACTCTTCAGTCAAGCACTGGTTTTTATATATAAGTTCAACTCATTCGTCACAAGCACAGGTTCACAACAGCTTCCATAAGAAAAACAGACGAGTGCGCGCGAAGCCAGGCACGGGGGGCAAAACTGTAAAGCGTCATCATCTCCAGGCAAACATGGGACTAACACACAAATGACTATACACAGGGAAACCATCACAGGCGAGCGAACGGACACAGATCGTTTGCCCACTCCTACTTCTGCCGCTAGGACGAACTGGCACCAGCGGCTGCTAGCACTTTCCTCTCGAGCTCAGGTTTGTTCGCGCCGACGAGCTTGTCGATCTGCTGCCCGTTCTTGAGGAAGAAGAATGTCGGCGTTGCGCGGATGTCCCATGACGAGCTGAAGTCCTGGAGATGAATAGTCTCTAAAAGAATTAGATGAATTGGGCTGATGAAAGCATCGGGCCAACTGTCAAACAAGAGCTATCAGGATGGAAATATACTTCCTACCACTTGAGTAAAGTGTCATGTAACATAAAAACTGGTAGCATGTTTTGGCTCAACCACTATAAGTATAGCACTTATCTACAAAATTGATGTTCCATCCTTAGAATCTTTAACTCAAAGAAACTGTAACTGTAGATAGACTTATCCTGGCCTACTTTAAAACTTTCGCAGTAATTCTCATGGTGATTCTCAGTTGAAAGCAAAAGTGAACATTTTGAGTGCACCTAGGTTATTCAATGCAGCTGAAACATAGAGCAATCTGCCCAAACAACCTTGAGGAATTTAATGCAAGAACCTAGCAGGATCAACAGGCAAAATAATAATACCAATACAGCATCAAGACTAGATGCATTGCTTGATTACAAAGAAGTCCAAGCCATGTATATTTCCAAGAACTGATTCGACATATGTAAGATTGAATTACCGTCAGGTCATCGACGTCTATTGTCAAGAACATGAGTTGGGGGTAAGTCTTTGACATCTCAGCATAGACAGGAGCAATGACACGGCATGGCCCACACCAGGAAGCACTGAAATTCGCCACAACCTACAAAAATAAACAGGTGAGTCTAACAAATATAATTCTACAACTTGTACTGCAAATTCTCATCTGCTAGTTCACATAACAAAGTGGCCTTACAAGAAATCAGGAGTTCAGACTTCAGAGGTCTAAACAAACTTAAAAGTTCAAGAACACCATAAGATGGCTGTAATAAAATGATATGGTTCAATTTTATAGGATGACCATGCTAGCAGAAGTTCCAGTTCATAAATTAGCAAATACTCCATGCACTCCAGCATATTATTCAGAAGAGTTCAGGCTTTACAAGTCAGAACAAAATTAGAATTTCAAGACCAGAGGTGCCTCTTAGAAACTGAAATAGTGCTTTTTGTTGGATTACCATGCATGCCAAAGTTCTAGCACATAACTTTTAAAAGTTCTCAACCAGAAGTTTTCTGAAAGATACGAATTAGTGAATCATGTTCAGACAACAAAAGCAGCAGGAAACCAACTTTTTGTGGACAATTTTGTAACTTGTTAACTGGCTATTGGGCTATTGGAAGCATGAACTTTATCATCTCATCCACACCTCAAACTCTCAAAGTTTTTCATTTAACAAATTGGCCACGATTGATACTAGGCAGTTTATGCAGGCTGATTTCTTGAACCTATTAGCTCCATAGCAAAGCACCCACAATGCAAAGTGACATCTCCAGTCCTTTAACTTTTACTTACGGTTTTCCCATCTCTGTTTGCTTCTGCAATCTTCTGCTCCCAGCCCTCTTTAGTTGTTATAAGATGCACATTTCCACCTTTGAAATTGAGCCTGTCTTCGTCGTCATCATGACGTGCCTGAACAAAGAACAAAAAAGTTATTAAAAACACTTGCACTTTCAAGATTGGTATCCTTTGAGAAGGCTCACCTTTCCCGCACAGCCTCCCATTGCGCACTCCAATCAACAAAGCTAGCACACCAGTGAACAAAATACTGCCTGAATAATGGCATACCAGTCAATTTGTATCCAAAAAGGAATCACGATGTTCTGATAAACACTTAATTTGAATGAGGTGCATTATTCATCGAAAATTGGGCAAACAGTATGTCATAACTGATAAGTGCCATGGAGTGTGAAAAATGATAAACTAGCGGTAAACTGCAAGGAAAGGAAAACACTATGACACCTATGTTGCCCATAACAGGCCAGTAAATTGTTCTAACATTCAGCGATTTTGCTGCTAGTACATCTGAAGACATCGTCTATGAACAAATCAACATGAAAAAGCACAACGAAGCATTTTTCTTGTGAATTTCACGAAATTTGTGACAACCCACCCCAGCTAAATCCCTGAAACCTCCCAGAAAATATAGAACAGCTTAAGAGCCTCGGCAACGCGGACAACAAAAACGACCACCACGCGCTTCCACGAAGCATTTCCTTGTGACAACCCACCGCAGTTAAATTCCTGAAACCTCCCATCATCTCGGTAACCAAGGCCGTATCGTTCGAGACGAAGAATCGCAATCTTTGGATACCCCCGCACGGGACCCCCAATTTGTCTCTAAACGGATCCGCCAGAAGCCGCACCGTAACCATGGGATCGAATCAGCGATCGACCAAGCAAGCAAAGGATTACCTGAGAACAGAGCAGGAAATCCGGCCGGCGAGGGGAGCCGGCGCCAATTCCGGACCAACGCCGCGGGCAGGGATCTGATTCGCCGCCGCCGCCGCCCGTGTCGCGGGGTTCCAGGAGAGGAAGAAGGAGGGATGCAGGGAGGAGGCGGAAACGGGGGGGCGTGCGGACCGCGGACGTGGAATTCTAGGCGGCTGGCTCGCGTTTTGTTCTTGGTGGGCACGCGAGAGGAAGGCGACGACGAGTCGACGACGACGCGGCGGAGTTGGATGGTTCCGGCCGGCTTCCCGCGTCAGGCCAGGCCCAGGCGTGACCCCACCCGCCCCGCGTTCGCACCGGCCACCGTTGCCTCTCGTTCGCTTCCTCCTCCCCTTTTCCGCCTGCGAATTTTGCTTCCGTTTCCCTTTTAGCCTCTTTCTGTTTTTTTTTGAAGGGAAATGAAGCATTGTGTAGAAATGGAGCCAACAGGGCTTTCGTGTTAATCTCATGAATGTATATACAATTATTACATGTGTATGCGGTTGTGGCAACCGCCTCTATCGCGCCTGTGCGCTAGCCTTAGCCCGTCGTGGGCGCGGGGCGCCGTGGTGACCAAGCCGAGCCGGTCCAGAGCCGAGCCAAGCCTATATCCTCAACACATTATTTTTAGGATTATTTTGATCTAGATCATTATAATTCTTTGAGTTTTGAGAAACGTCATTATAATTCACCTATTTAGAGATTTATTATTATAATTTCATCTCTCCCACATCTATGCTATTTTTTTCCAGCTACCGCGTATAAGGGCCACTGTCAGACACGAATGCCTACAGGAAGGCATACGGACGTCAAGTCCCCGTCTCCTCCGTCGGACCGAGCGCGCCCACGGCGACCTATGCGTGAGCGGAGCGGCGGCGTGGCCTACGCGCAAGGGGGAGCAGCCGCGCTCGCCCGCGGCGGCCTGCACGCGAGACCACCTGCTCCAACGCACCAAGAGGCTGCTGGAGGAGTTCGCCGCCGCCGTGGTCCGTGGAGGGCACGTCCAGGCCTGTGGACTCCCTGTTCGTGCCTGTGGACGCGGAGTCCCCGTCCTCGTCTCCTCCGTCGACGACGCGGAGCTCCCCGGTGACGTCCTCGTGCTGATGGACATGACGAAGAAGTCGACGATGGTGGCCGCGGCGGGGAACTCGCGCCGGTTGTTGAGCACGTGCGCGATGGCGGCCGCCGTGGGATTGCCAGAGCGACGCCGCCGCCGCCGGCCCGACACCACCTCAATGGATCCGCCACGTACGCCACCTCCACTCCGGCGCTGAAGAAGAGAGGAGGCCACACGCCCTTAGTCCGAGCAGCGATGCCATCCAGTCCTTCAGCGAGGCAGAGGAGCTCCAAGAGGTTGGTTGGGTGCACGAACACAAGCTCACCTCTGCACATTTCTTCGTTCTTGTTACCTTTTCACAATGCTCACGATCAGGGAAATTATTCTGTTGTTGGTTGCGTGGCGGCAATGATTTCGAAATTCTTCATGTAGTCATCGCCTTCTGAAAATCTAAGAATTTCTTTGTGGTTTTTCCGTGTTTGTTTTGTCCGAGCATTCCAGCGAAACTAAGAAGGAAATTCATCGGCCCAGGAGCGAGACACAAAGCTCCCTGAAGAAAGAGGCAGGGACCTGAACTCTGCTGCTAGCTGTTCTTCACGGATCCTATATTTTGTTCTACGCTAGCGCTCAGTGGCCTGCTTGAAAGAAAAGCTCCGATCCAACACAAAAGTGTGCCTGAATATCGCAATGTTGCAGATAACATGATGAACTGAACTGAACTTGAAGTTGTGTCTTGCTCTGTTTTTTTTCCTTTTTTTGAAAGATAGTGTCTTGCTCTGTTTCTCGGACTGACATGATGCACACATGCCGGAAGTCGTCTGCGGATGCGCGAGAAGAAGAAGGGTGCCCGCGTCGCTAGGTCGTAGCAGGGGACCAGCACGGGGCGCCGTGTTGCGGAGGAGGAACTCCAGCGCCGTCAGCGCTGCACATGCGCCGCCCGCGCGGCCCGCGCGCGAACATCAGGGCGGCCAGAACGCCCCCCACGCCGGACCCCGCAGCCGCGTCGAAGAAGTCGGCGAGCCGCACCGCGGGGCTGCCGGCGCGCCGCTGCAGCGCGGCCTCCATGCGCACCAGCGCGGTGCCGGCCAGGAGCCCGTCGCCCGCGCGCACTGCCATCTATGGAGATGACGCACTCCTCTCCCGTGCTGGTGGCTACCTGTGGGGGCCAGAGGCCGAACGGCGGCGCTCGCCCGCGGCAGCCTGCGCGCGAGCGGAGCGGCTCTCGTCCGCAGTGGGCACCACGTGAGGTGGAGCTCGTCGACGGCGGCGACGCAGAGCGACGGTAGCTCCTTCTAACGGAGAAGGCGGGGACTTAACGTCCATACACGTTTCTGTACATATACTAGTCTGACAATGGGCTCATGTACACTGAAGACGTAGAAAATGACATGGACGAATGAGAGATAAAATTATAATTATAGTTCTCAAAATAAACGAATTGTAATGACGTATCTCTAAACTTCAAAAATTATAATAACGCTGACCAAAAAGCCCTTGTTTTTACGAGGACAAAAAAAAATGGTAGCGAATTTCGCATGTGGATTTCCTGCAGCTTGGACTCCGGGTCCACGTGGACCATTAGCATCTCTTCACAAATGTGCAGCTTCTTGTAAGGCCCTGCCCACCTGATTTTGGAACTTCAATTTGGGGAAGACGTGGCTATTGTGTTTTCTTCTTCTTCATATATTTCGTTTGTTTATTTAAACAACTACTCTACTACGAGGGCCACCATGATCCCTGTTCATTGCATTGCCACCGGTCAAGAGTGAAGAAGTACTCTACATTTGTATGGTATGGGTATGTATTTGGATTCACCTGAGTATGAGTACGAAAGCCTGCTATTAAGTTCGGTGATGCTAGGAATCAGACGTCCGTTCGCGGCTCTGCGCCGGATGCCTTCTGTTCGTGGACACGACATACAGAAGGCTATCTATCCTATCCGCTCCCTCTACTCCCATCCAATCATCGCAGATTAAAAAAACTCACGGTGATACTACGCTCTGCGACCGCGCTCCGCCGCGCCTCCTGCACGCATTTCTCTCCACCGCGCCTCCTGCCGGCCTTCCTCTCCACCGCCGCCGCGCCCACACTGTCGCGGCGTGCTCCCCCCAGATTGCACAACCGATGCCGCCTCGCTGCGCGAGGTCACACCCACCCGACTGTTGTTGTTGGCTCCACCGCGAGCACTGCTCGTCGGGGGCACCGCGTGCGACCCTATCGCCGGGGCAGCGTCGCCACTCACCGGGGGGCGCGTAGCCGCCCGTCCGCTGTCGCCCTCCTTCTACACCGTGACCACACAGTCGGATCCCGCTGTGTAGTGCTCCACCCTCCGGATGCTAGGTTTTGCTGAAAGCGCATGTTGCAAGTGTATGTTTCAAGTGTTTCAGAAGTTTTAGAGGTATGTTATAAGTGTTTCAGATGGATGTTGGAAAAGTAGATCGGGATGTTGCATATGGTTGTACACATATGTTGCAAAGGTCTATTACCAATGTTTCATCTGTGTTTTCTGACGTATGTCGCAAGTGTGTTTATTTGGATGTTGCATGTGTTTTATCTTGGTGTTGTGTATGTTTGCAAAGGTTTTCAAGTGTTTTCAGGTATTTTTTCAAGTGTTTCAGAAGCATGTTGCAAGTGTGTGTTTCAAATGTTTCAGTTGTTTCAGACATATGTTACAAGTGTTTTATTTGAATGTTTCATATGTTGGAAGTGTTTTACTTAAATGTTGCATATGTTGCTGTGGCTATGCATATGTTCCAAATGTTTCATTTATTTTAGACATATGTTGTAGCAAGTCCTCCATGTTGCAAGTGTTTCATGAGGCAGGCGGGCGAGCGCCGGGGGCGCAGCAGGGCGAGTAGACGTAGGCGCGCAACATGGCACGGGCGAGCAGCAGGGCACATATGAGCATCAACAGGGAGCGGCGAGCAGGAGGGCTGGCATGCATGCTCCGATGCGCGTCCGTGTGTGGGGGCAACCAGAGGGAGCGAGTGGGAGACAGTCACCCGACATGGGACCCGTCGTAGAGGCAGGGGTGCTAGAGCATTGCCGTTTTCTGCCGATCCATTTTGAGCGCTGGCGGGCCCAGCTGACAGCCTAGGGAAATGCGCTTTGCAGGCTGTTCGGGCGCACGTCCGCTAGTGTGTAGGGGCGAGTGTACCACGTGGGCTGCACGGGCAAGCATGCACTGGGCTGAGTGGCAGGCGTGGCACGGGAGTCCGGACGCGCATTTCTGTCCAGACGTCCGGGCGCTAGTAAGGCCCTTTTAAGTTTTAACCACAAGCACCTTACCACGGTGTGTATTCCCTTGTATATTTGGGTTTAAGTCACTTAGAAAGTTGGAAATGGCATGTGCTTGATGTTTGGATTTTGATTTCATAGCATCTCTAGCAGTATTCTAGTAATCTACCCTTTGGAGTATTTGGTTTGATGAATCAATCATTCTAGATGATGCGATGCATCCTGAGTTTATTCCTCAAATTTAGTGGAATAATTTCATTCCTCAAATTCAGTAGAATGACTTGATTCCTTATACTAGTACTAATTATTAGTTTCCAATAAATATCAAGGTTGCCGACTAAAGGGGTGAATAGTTATTACTAAAACTTAATCGCGAATCCTATCCAGATCCTAGCCAATTAAGCATAGCGGAATAAAACTAGCCTGTTCGCTTGCTCGTAAACGATCGTAAATTTCCAGCCGAAAACAGTGTTTTTCTCACACACCAAACCAACCAGCAGTAAATAATCCACGATACGATACGGCCTCCCAAACAGGCTGCTAAGCAACAACTCTCTCTGTCTATAATGATTGACGTTCCAGGACTTGAACAGGTAATAAGGTTGAAGGTAAAAGACCCTTATATCCCTATAAAACAATCATCATAGCCGCTGATAATTTGAAATGACATGCACATTTATTGTTCTGCTTCCATTCCAGGTCACAGCTCCTTCACGGCTCCAGCATCCAACACTAGACTCTTTTCATTTTTCTATTAACATTCAGGCTTATGGACGTAAAGTGATGGGCGACAGACGATTGATGATGGGCTAGTGTGGGACCTACGTTTTAGGCTATGACATCAAGCATTGTGATACAAATTTTGAGTGCTAGAACGTCTAATATTCTAGGACGGAGGGAGTAGAACAACAAGTAAATACAAGAGCTCCTACTCGTACCAGTAATCAAGGTAAGGAACTAAACTACACTAGTACAAGTAACTACCTGAGAGGCTACTTAACTAGCCAAGCTACACAAGCAAATACACTAGCAAGAGATATACAAGTAATGAGCTAGTGTAGAAAGCAAACCAACGGAAGAAAAGTGATGACATGGTAAATTTTCTCTTGAGGTTTGGTGGCTTACCAACCACCTACTACTCCTTGTTGAGGCGAGTTTAAGGATTATCGTTCCTCTCGCTAGCTCCCAAGCCCGCAAGCTCGAACTCCCCACAAGGTAGGCTCCAATGTGAGGACTAGACTTGAGTCAAACAATAAACAAGGTACTCCAACAAGCCTCTCAATCTACTAGAGTTGCTCTTTGTCTTCCTCCTGTGGGACGAGCACATGAGCCACCTCACAAATCCTCCTCCAGAGTTATTGCACAATCTTGTCACGATACTTCACGGAGTCACAACCACCAAGCCATCTAGGAGGCGGCAACCTCCAAGAGTAGTAACAAGCACAACCCGCCTGCAAATCGATCACCTAGTACCACTCGATCAATCTCTTAATGATTCTCACTAGACACACACTCCAGTTTCACCATTAATGGGATATCGACTTAGCATATGTACTATGCTAATCTTAGCTCTAAAGGGTGTGGGTATGAACCTTGGGCATCAACAAGCACCACACACTCGGCCATAACACTTATATATACGTTAGACTGGCTAGGACACAACGACTCTCTCTAAGCAATGCCTGTTAGATCTCACGAGTGACACTAGATAGCTAACTTGCAAAATGAATTTGCCCCGCTTGATAGTACGACTATCTATCCTAAACCTGGCTATACACTTCTCTATGTACCAATGGTTGGTGAAAAGAAATGCCTACAAGCTATACATTTGCCTTGCACATTCTATTTCATCTCCAGTTCATGATGCCCGCGAGCATCCACTCTCCATCAACTCGATAAAAAAATGGTCATCACATGGCCAACCTTGCCACTTGACCATTGTCCATGCATGAAGCACCTCCATCTTCAGTCCATCAAGACACTTGATATCTTTACATATCTTCTCTTGGCTTGATCTCGTCTAACCAGGCGCCATCTCATCTAACCAGCACGTAGGTGGGCCGCATGCATGCTGTTGCGCCTTGTTTCCCACGTCCGGCGTGAGGTAGTGGTGGGCCATGCCTAGGCTACGTCCCGTCTAACCAGGCACCATCTCGTCGGGCAGGGCATACCCATCGTTCAGGACGCATCCCATCCGCATTGAATGGGGGAAGGGAGAGGGTTTTTTGCCCCAATCCTTCGCCTTTCCCCAACTGCTGTGCCTCCTCCTTAAATAGGGGAAGAGAGAGGGCTTTCATCATGTTCCTTCACCTATTCTCCAACTGCTGCCTCTCCTCCTTCTTCCCTCTCGCCAAGAGCGTTCGTGTGCCACAGCGGTTCCTAGGAGAAAAGGGTAGAGCAAGGGAGAAGAGAACTCATAGATCTGTTCATGAATCCAGAGTGCAATGTCGAGCTGGAGGCCATCGAACATGGATGAGACGGTGCTGGCCGCCTTTGCCGAGAAGGGGTTGCTTCCGCCAAAAGAGGTGGCGCACTAGAGGGCTCCTATGGGGGAGGCTTTCCCGCGACCTCAGGCTGGTGAGGTCATCTCCTTCCTCGCCTTCCATGAGCATGGGCTAGGATACCCCACAAACTGGTTCCTACGCGGGCTCCTCAATGAGCGGGGCCTGGAGTTGCAGCACCTCAATCCGACTAGGGTGCTGCACATCGCTGGCTTCGTCACCATCTGTGAGGCCTTCCTTGGGATGGAGCTGTGGATTTCTTCCGGCGGATCTTCACCGGGTGGGCTTTGTCAGAGGGGAAGTCGCCCAGGACCACACCGGTTGTGGGCTTCGCCCTGCAGAAGAAGCCTAGTGCGTCGGGCTCCTACCCCGCGTACA